TCTCGTCGTCGTCGTCATCATCGNTTATCATCATCATCATCATCATCGTCATCGTCATCATCATCGTCGTCGTCTTCCTCATCATCATCCTGTTGGTTGGTGGCGCCTTTTAGTTTTCCTAGCCTTAGTTAATTCAATTATATCATTCATTACAACATCATCACCAAACCATCATCATCATCACCACTACCACCATCATCATCACCATCATCACCACTATCATCATCATCATCCCCATCATCATCATTACCACTGTGGTAGTGGTAATGATGATGATCATTATCCCCACTACCATCATTATCATTACCACTACCACCATCATCCTCATCATCACCATCATAATCATTACCACTACCACTATTATCACCATCATCATCATCATCATCATTCATTACGTCATCATCATCAAGTTGAGATCATCACCAAGATTGCAGAACATTAGTTAATGTAATTACCCCCCATACTCTCATCAACCTTTAATTTAATAGCACCATTTCGTCATCACAGTCTTACTCATTAATCTCAATAGTATGTGTGTGTGCGTGTGTGTGTGCGTGTGTGTACGTGTGAGTGCATGCGGGTGTGTAAAAGTTTGGTTTGTATATGCATGCGTGTATGCGTGTATAATATGTGTATGTACGCCAAGGCGTGTATGTATGTGTGTGTGTGTGTATGATATGTGTGTATGTGTGTGTGTGTGTACGATATGTGTGTGTGTGTGTGTGCAGATGTGTGACTGTGTGTCCCACTTTCCTCTCTCTTTACTCGTTCTCTCTCTCTTTCCTTCCTTCGTTTTTTTTCACTCACTCTCTCTTCGCTGTCATATCTTTCTTATTCTCCCAATGTAATGCATCTCTGCTTTACGATGTACCCTTAAATAAATGTTACGTGTGTATATATCTTAAAGTCACACACACACGCACACACACACATACACACACACGCATACGTATATATGTATATACACACATATATCATCTATACCGTTTATAAATAGATACACATATACATGCATAATATTAATAATTCAAAGTTTCTCAAAAACATCTGCTAAACAGATGATGACGATGGTGATGATGGTGATGACCTCAACGATGATGATGATGATTACTGTGATGGTGTTGATGATAGTGGTGGCGATAAAAAATAGCGGTAATGATGATGATTACGGTGCTGATTATGAATGCGTACGACGTTAAACCTTTTTATAAATTGATTTAAAATCCTACGAAAATAGGCAAGATATTTTCACCACCCGTTTTTTTCCTTCTCTTTCTCTCCCTCTCTCTGTTTCTTTTCTTCATTTCTTTTTTTCTCTCTCTCTTTTTCTCTTTATCTTTTCATCACATTTTCCCTTTCTTTCTCTCTCTCCCTCTCTCTCTCTCTCTTCATCTTTCTCGCTTTCAGCCCTTCTCTATATTTCATTATCATTCTTCCTCTTCTCAAAATTGCTTCGTCCTATCTCTCTTTTTTTCTTTTCTCTCTCTCTCCTTCTCTCTCTCTCTTTTTCTCTCATTTCATCTTATTCTCTTCCATCCAGCTTTTCCCTCTGTTAACGTCGTAAATTTTTTTGTGTGTATTTCATTTTGTTGCCTTGCCTCGTTCAATGCTTTTGGACTATGTGTCGTTATGGTAGCGAAACTCTCAACTCTGTTGTTATCATACTCCTAGTGTTTTTCTTTCTTATTTTAGGAAATATTTACTGCAAAACTGATTAATAGTGCCCTTTTCAAGTATTTCCATTGTTTTTTGTGGCTCTGAAAAAATTAATTTTTACCAAAAAACATAAACTTTATTTTCGGCGATGTTTAATTTTTCGGACTGTAATTTTTTGCTGTCTTTGGGTTTATTATTATTATTACTATTATTCATATTATTGTTTTTATTATTATTATTGTTGTTATTATTGTTATTATTTTTGTTGTTTGTAATTTTGTTGCTGGCATGTTCTTTTGTGAAAAATTTGTTTGATGTATACAGTAGCCTGTTAGTTCATGCATTTGTTTCTCAGCATCAGGTTCGTTTGTTTGTCTGTGCATTTGCTTGTGTCTGTGTGTATGTGTGTAAATGAGTGTGTGTATTGTGTAAATGTGTGTGTATTTGTATGTATGTATGTGTGTGTATTCTGTATGTATGTGTGTATGTATGTATGTGTGTGTGTAAATGTGTGTGTATGTGTGTGTGCGTGTGTGTGTATGTATGTGCGTGTGTGTGTTCATACACATTAGGTTTAAATGCACGTCTAAATGTGGTTATATATTTTTGTATGTATGTGTTTGTGTACGTGTGGCGAGTGTATGTATGTTTATAATATAGTACATAATTAATCAGTAATATAATTAGTAATTATTTTTATAATTAATTCTATAAAATATCTGCCATTTATATTATTTTTTAGCTAATTTTTTTTAGAAAATTTGTAGAAACTTTTCGAAACGAAACCTGTGCGTGTCTTTTGTTTAGTTTGTTTTTTTTTCTCTACAATTTCTTGGTCAAGATTTAGAATTTAAATTATATTAGGTATGTGTTCATGCTTGTGTGAGTGTGTGCGTGCATGTGTGTGTGCGTGTATGTGTGTATGCGCGTGTTTAAATTTGTCTATGTTCATTTGATGCTCAATTCAATTAAAATTATTCGATTATTTTTCAAACAATACTGAGCATAAAATATTTACAATTCTTAGAACTA